ATTAAAATTTGTAGTGTCTGTGGGCGACTTATGGCCAGAGATAGCCTTTAGATAGTCATGTCTAATCTGAAATTATGTCTGTTGGTTTTTGTTAGTCGTTTTGGGTTGCTTTCTCGTTGACCTTAAAAACCTCATATCTCTCTCTATTCATAAATATACTCTATTACAGAAATATCAATGTTAAAGACGCCGTTACCTGCTTCCGGAATGCTGACCTGTATTCAACTCATTTGATCGAAACTAAAAAACTATTTAGAAAAATACACCTCATGCCAAACGAATATAAATGTTTAGCTTTTAAGGTCCACTAAACTCTATCAGTGATCTCTTGGTAGTATGATTGATCGCTTGTCTGTGAAACCATAATTTATTGATTGATTGATTGATTGGTGTTTAACGCTACTTTCAACACTATTGTGCTATTTCGTGGCGGTCAGCTGTTATTGGTGGAGGAAGCCGGATTGCCCGGAGAGAACCACCGACCTTCGGTAGGAAAACTAACAATCCTAGTCAATTAAGATTGGAGTCGATCATATTTTATTGTAAAATCTCCCCACTTTAGAAATATAAAAAGATGTTGTATGATTGCCAATGAGAAAACTTTCCACAAGAGATAACAATGATGTGGATGTGGATGTAAACAACTATAATAGCTCATCGTCAAAATATAAAGTCAAACGAGAAACTCAAAGGCCTGATTAATGTTAAAACAATAAACGGAAAAACAAATGTGACAGACAGCAAACAATAACCACCAAGTAATAAAGGGCCACTGAATTGTGATAATCATATTCATAGTGTGCAGGGTTAACCATGTTTGCGAGCACTCAACCCTCCCAGAATCAGGAACAGTTTTGAAATAGCAAACAATATAAGAACATATTGTAAAACTCAGTTGGAAAGGTCTCGACTCAAAAAGATCAGCGCGGAGTATGAAACCAATTAACAAAAAGACACTGAGTTCTCGTAGCTAGTTCAAAGCTAATTACAGTTGATGAATAAATACTGTTGGCACCAACTAAAATATAAATCAGTTCACATCCGATTAGAAACCAAAATGAAAAGTGAGATTCAGTGTTACAGCCAAAGCTTTATTTATATGGTCTGTGAGTACTGAGATCTTCGCTAATTACATGAGTAGCTATTTGCTTCGAGGAGCCTGAGCTTTTCGTTTTTGAAAAAATATTCAACATTAAAATCACTTAACACTCATCATTCTTATTTTTTTATGAAAAACATTGTTGGATTCTAAATCTAAACATGTCTGTTCCAGAAGGGAAATGAAACAAAATTGTTTTCTTTATAAAGTTGTGGAGAAAAAATACATTAAAGACTTTGAATTTCAAAAATTAAGTCTTACAATAACATTTTGTTTGATAAAGGACAAAACATGTGTTTCGAGAACCCCTCCCCCAACAAAAAAGTAATTGTCGGTGCCTTTAACACAGTGGCAGAATTCTTTCAAATACCGAGTAAGATTGTGACTAAGATGGTTAAATTGTATCAGTTCAGTTTTCCACTTGTAGTTATATTTACCAACACTGTTTTGGAGAATTAAATTCTTGGATTGTAAAATAGCAGAACACAATCTCGGTTTATATCTTTATTCAAATATACAAATTTTGAGAGAGGGAAGTGATTCATTTGTAATATTATTCTTTTAAATTGAGATAATTATGTATTGTATCGTATTATTTCAACTATTAAAAAAAAAATACAGAACATTTTTTATATAATTTTATTTTTTTTCAACTTTGGCAAATAAGGGGAAGCAACTCATATAACCTTACTTTTACTACCAAAAAGTTTGATTAATTACACCACTTTCCGCAAAATATATTTTTGTATATTTTTAGTATGTTGTCCATAGATAGTAACAGACTTGTTTTTCAGAGAAAGACTTTGTGTTGCAATTAGTTGCAGGTTGTTCACTAAATTGACTAGACTATGACCACCGTTAGGTATTCTTTCAAGATCTGTTTTCTCGATATACCGATTGACACCCGTGCACATTGGCCTTACAAAATATCAGCCTGATATATTTGAGAATTTTTTAAACACAATTTTGCATGAAAGTATATAGCTTAAATATCTATTACGTCTTTGCATTCAAGAACATTCTTTTGTGGGGATAATTCTGCGAATCAATCGTAAAATTAACGTAACGACTGTATAAAGGCCAAATGCTATAATAATTAAAGCATTCTGAACTACATTTATGTTTATTTTTTCAGTTTGACCCATCCGTTTTTCTGTAAAATCCGTCATTATTTTAATATCAATTTTTTTAAAGACTTCTCAATTGAACCATTTAAACTACAACTTTCAAATGATTGTTCAAAAAAGAGGGGCGAAAGATACCAGAGGGACATTCAAACTCATAGATCAAAAATAAACTGACAACGCCATGGCTAAAAAAGAAAAATACAAACAGAAAAACAGAAAAACAATAGTACACAAGACACAACATAGAAAACTAAAGACTAAGCAACACGAACTCCACCAAAAACTGGGGGTGATCTCAGGTGCTCCGGAAGGGTAAGCAGTTCCTGCTCCACATGTGGCACCCGTCGTGTTGATTATGTTATCGCAAACCCGGTAAATAGTCTAATTCGGTAGATCACATTCGTGGAAAGGGGATATTCAAATATTATAACAATCGTCTAGGTTTTAAAAATACGCGTTTGCTATCACTTCAATTTGACACAAAGATAGACACAACAATTCAGCGTTCTTTTTACTGTTGTTCGTCAAATGTATATAACATCATCTACATGAGAGTATTTTCAGGTTTCAGTCTGACATATATATTTGTGAAGATTCAATGTCCGTTCGATCTCTGGATGCTTTTACACTGTGCATTCTTTGTCAAACGAATTAAGCTGATGTCTTACACAATGGACATTTTAGGGATTCAGCTAAAGATGTGTTATAATGCACATTCAATGGAAAGCTGATAAATAAAACGGACATATTTACTATTGAACAAATATGGAGTGTCTTTATTTCAATTGAAATGTTTATTGTTCTTACTATTGGAATGTAATGCATATTAGAATTAGCGCTTAGGATTTTGCTGTCATGTTTTTAAATTACCTTGCAATTTTATGAACAAATACGCTTATAAAAGATTTTTTTTTTCAATCAGGTAACCTGATAGTTGTTTGTTTTTTCGTCGAAATTAGTTTATTTTGCTAAAGTTTTGTAAGTTTTTATTCTGCTTCCCCTATTAGGTCAACAAATATGAATTTATTTCCCATGGCGTTGTCAGTTTATTTCCAACTTATGAGTTTGAATGTCCCTTGGTATCTTTATTCTCTCTTTTATAATAGCATTTACACTACTTTAACTAAATATTATGCAGCAATATGTATATTGAATCAAAAACATAAGTTGAAAAGATTTATAACATTTTTTCTTAGCCATGGTATTTTGACACGACTACCACGGAAAATTGAACTCTTACCTTATAGATACACATTTTAATTTATGATATCATGTGGACCAGTTTAACTAAACCTAATACTGCAATAAATATCTTGAACGGAAAAAAATTGTTTGGTGAGATATTATAGCACTTTTTTATAGCAATGGTATTTTGACCACACTACCATTGAAAATTGACCCCCCCCCCCACTATTAACAATTGTGAAGTTATATTAGCATTTACACTACTTTGACTAAATATAATGCTGCAAAAACGTATTTGGAATGCAAAACATTACTTGGAAAAACTTGTATTACACTTTTTCTTATCCAGTATAATGTTTATCACCTAACATGGAAAATCGACCCCCCCTTACCCTATTAGGTCAAAAGCATTTATGATAATTATCATGTACACCACTTTAACCAAACATAATGCGGCAATACGTATATTGAACGAAAACATCTGTTTGATTAGATTTTATAACACTTCTTCTTAGCCATTGTATTTTTACCCCCTTTTATGGAAATTAAACCCACCCATCAGCTGTCAAAAATTCCATCTATAAAACAATTTTAACTACTTATATCATTATGATACATCAATTTTTCATAGGGTTCAAAATACCATATGACACCAGTATCATCGTTTGTATGTCTTCTCTATCATAAGAAAGTGTAACGTAATAACACATCTAGGACTTTTCAGTATATTTATTCATTAAATTCGACACAGTAATTAAACCTTGTTTTATTACAGATATGTTGCATGTGGACCATGAAAGTTAAATATAAAGTTATTTTGTTAAAGAGGGGTGAAAATTGGGGTACAAAACGAAATAACTGACACAAAAAGTTCTACTTCTAACTTTTTTCAGTTATTTTATTATAGATACAATATTCAAATTTTCGTATTAATATATAGATAGTAGTTAGCAAATGGGTCACAAGATTAAACACATGACTCTCTTTGTTAATCCTTGTTACAGTATTAATTCTTTTTCTCTTATTTCAAATCTAAATTATAGACAATGCGTAATACTAAAAGGAACAAAGCCCCCTTAGACTGAAACAAATCAACAGTTGGAACTATCCTGATGATTGTTCAGTTTTTTTTTTACTTAAGGACCCTTCTTTAGTTTTTATAGCATTTAGTTTGTCTAGTTATGTATTTTTTTTTATTTCTATATCCCCCAATTCTTTAACAAAATTTTATTCAGTACCCTCTGCATCTTTATGGAACGATATAACCGACAAAATTTGATTACTGTGTTTTTATGGAACTTTTGTTTAGTGTGCTTGATCATTGTAAAGTAACTATTGTTGTGTCACTTCGTATATTTGATATAAAAGTTGCATATCTTAATCAAGATGAAAAAAGAATTGTAAATTTCCTCATGCGTTACACTTGTGACATAACTGACTTTCAGAAAACAGTTTGGTACATTACATCAACTCTAGATGTTAAGTTTAGTTTGATGAAACAAATTGCAACTGTGTCAGAATGTTTTAACGAATTATAATAGGTGGAGTGGAAAACTAAGAAACAATCAAGTCATGGTAAATATACTCACTATGAGCACATTAAAGTGCGACAACGTTTCCCTCTTGCAAAGACTCCAAGCATATAACACAGTTAATTTCTATAAGATAAAAGTAACACAATTTAAAGTCAATATGATTCGGTCGTTGAAATAATAAACAAAAAAGAACATGCGTAGTTAAGATATATTTTACTTGTCACAGTAAGGACTTTGACGGTACAGTGCACACAGTAATCAATATTTTGATAATAGCCTGAGTAAACTGATACATTTCAGTGAAACATTTTATCAACTATGAAATTGTATCAAAACTAAGGTTGCAACTCCTTGTCACAGTCAAAGGAAATTGATATGGTTGAAATTTTAGTATTTGGTTTTATATATTTGATTCCTAAATTTTTGGTCGAGAGTGTTTTTCATGAGAAATAGATATCGTGTAAAGATTGCTTGTTATTACCTGTTTTCGTAGCCTCAATTGTGGTAACATTCAACATTGCTAATGCACGGCCGTCACTCGGCTAACCGAGAGATTGGTCGGTTAATCTATATTGAGTATGCGGCTATATCGGCGGTTGGTCTGTTAATTGGGTTGGCTAAAGTCTGTTAATTGGGTTGGCTAAAGTCTGTTAATCAGGTGTTATCGAGAAAATACTTGCAAGTTCAGTATGTTTCATTGTATAACTTTTTAAATATATTTTTTATCATAAAAATTATTCATGTCTGACAAAACAATTCAATGTACTGAATCCAGTGCTGTAATTATTTTTTTTCTAGCTTCGATAAACAATCAATAAAATGAAAAGGCGGGTTACTCACCAATATTTATACACATTTTACACACACAAAATGTACACAAAATGACAACTTGGCTGAATTTACTTGCATGCAATATTTTGAACATCGAAAAAAGACGGGCATTATGTTTGTTAACCATATTAATATCATTGTGTGAAAAATCTACACGAAAATCTGTATTTTGGTGATATTAATCAATTTTTATTAAAAACCTGGTCTGTTAATGGGTCGGATGTATAAAACCCGGTCTGTTATTTGGTCTGTTAAGAGTTATGAATGGCAATGAAAATATAATTTGATTGCTTTATGGGGAGTTATCGGATCAAATGGGTAGGCTCAAGACGAGTGGCTAAAATATACGGAAACAACACATGAACAATGAAACATAAATTTAGACAATGGAAATTGGAAATTGATAAAAATTGTTTCAAAAAGTGTAATATTAAAGTGATATTAATTTCATTCAAGAATGCTCGCATATATCATGTGAATTCTGTTTCGTTGTTATGAATGACACCAATTTGTCATCTACATTGGTAACCAGTATATACATCATTTTTATAGTTCGTTCTTATGTTGTTCTGTTATACCACTGTTCCAGGTTAGGGGAGGGTTGGGATCCCGCTAACATGTTTAACCCCGCCACATTATGTATGTATGTGCCTGTCCCAAGTCAGGAGCCTGTAAATCAGTGGTTGTCGTTTGTTTAAGTGTTACATATTTGTGTTTCGTTCATTTTTTTTTATATATATAAATAAGTCCGTTAGTTTTCTCGTTTGAATTGTTTTACATTGTCATTTCGGGGCCTTTTATAGCTGACTATGCAGCATGGGCTTTGCTCATTGTTGAAGGCCGTACGGTGACCTATAGTTGTTAATTTCTGTGTCATTTTGGTCTCTTGTGAAGAGTTGTCTCATTGGCAATCATACCACATCTGCTTTTTTATATCAGAGATAAACGTCGTAATGTAACTAAACATCAGTGAGTAAAATATATTGGGATGCTAAAATATAAAGAATAGAGAAAGAATAATGAGAAAAATAAATAAAATGTAGAGAAAAGTGACATAACAATTTAAAGAATACAGAAATAAACAACACCCCCAATCCGGTCCCTCATGGTATACACGAGAATCTGGATGGAGACGCAGAATATAGAATAATAGATAAAGACAGTAGAGAGTGATGCATTGCTGAAAAAGAAAGAAAAATAACAATTGTTTAAGAATACAGACATGAAACACCCCTTTTTACTATTTAGACCCTCCAAGATGATTGTTAAAACAATTTTGGCATTTATTCCACATCTCCTTATTTTTAAATTAATAGTATAGACAACGATATCTATATAGATGCTTTGCAATTTTTTTTACTGTATATCACATTATGTTATTTGAGACTGGAGTCCGATAAACATTGGCCTCCTGTCAACCGCTGAATCTGATAGCTCAGTAAATATTGTAAAGTGCAAACAAAACAAAATTTCAGGGGGAGGGGGTGGTTGAAACAGTAACGGATTGCGATGTACTCAAATTGGTGACAAATGCTAGAATTTTACAAGCGCACAACTGCAGTTCTCCTCTGCACTTATGTAGAAAGGAACTAAACGGAATAAAATGAATTAAGACTTAAGATAATCAAATGTAGCTGCATTCGCTTCTTTCCATTTACTTCTTTAGAATGTTTTGTAAACAACATATGATTAAGTAAAAGAACAAAAGAACCAATTGGATGATGCTGACGAATTAGGGTTTAACGTCCAGTGGCAAATATCATGTCCATATGAGAACGACAACACGTTATATGTACCCGGTGTTGTATAAGACAGACACTTTCAGTCGGATTTTTTAACGTTCTTCTTTGAACAGACACAAAAATCAAGGCTGTTAATAATAAATTCATGCATATTCCAGCGGCCAATCCATATCACGGTATATTGCAGTGACACACCTTTCAATAAAATGCAAAGAAAGTCAAAATAAAAATGCTCTTACTACAAGGATACTGTTGCACCGTATTGTCATTTTTTTTACTCAAGTACATCTCATTCTAAACTTTTTTAATGGGAAATTATAAAGGTAGCAAATCTATTGTCGTGGCTAAATAACTCTTAACTGACACAATTTTAATTGTCCAACCCATTAACAGACTTTATTCCCCTAATAGTCACTAAAACGTGGTATTACTCACGTTATATTACAATTATGAAATATTTACTAATGTCAATTTATTTTTTAGAACCAAAGTACTATTTTGTGTTTTTTAAATGATATCTAAAATTGTTTGTTTCGCCTTTTATTAAAACAATTGCTATGCGTATAAGCATAAATACCACATACTTGCGCTACGCCTTTTAGTTTTACTGAAGTTTGCGCAGACTATGAAATGTTTTTACAGGTGGAAAATGTTCTATGATAGATATCATTTTGTCAGACACTTTTCTTTTTTTTATTTGGTTCTTATAATATGCAAAAAATCTGTATATTTAACAGAGTTGAACATTTGAATTATGCGTTTTACTCTTAACAGACGTATAACCGACCCGATTAACAGACCAACCGCCCATATAGCCGCATACTCAATACAGATTAACCGACCAATCTCTCGGTTAGCCGAGTGTCGGCCGTGTAATGTCCTTTGTGTCTTAGTTGTATGATGTCTTGTGCTTTCCAAAAACAGAATAAGGTAGTGTCTAAAATAAATTAAAAAAGTAAAATGAATAAAGTTCCCCGAGTTTTTTCCATTGGAAACGTATTGTATCTAACTTGAAGAGTTTTATACGTGTGTTGCACATCAATAATATAAATACAAACAAACAAGTATACAAAGAGAAAAAAAAAAAAAAAACACACGCAAAGTAGGACTATAGTACGGAAGCTTATTAGCGCCACACAACTTTTTTTTTAATATTTCTTCCTATGTTTGCGTTATAACGCAAACCTTTACGATATAACGCAAACCTTTGCGAAATAACGCAAACCTTTGCGTTATATAACGTAAACCTTTGCGAAATAACGCAAACCTTAGCGTTATAACGCAAACCTTTGCGATATAACGCAAACCTTTGCGTTATAGCGCAATCCTTTGCGAAATAACGCAAACCTTTGCGTTATAACGCAAACATTTGCGATATAACGCAAACATCTTGATTTTAATTATTCATTAAGTTTTGTATATATGTCTGACTGTCATTAATTTCGGTTGTGATTTACTAGTAGATAGGAAACAAACCATAAATACAAGGCCAACTCATTAAAATAAATTTGCATAGGAATGATGGAATACTTGAAGTGCAATTATACATAAATTAAGGATGATTTGTGCATCAGAAAAGTCAGAAAAGTATATAATTTAACAAGAAAATAGATATGGTATAGGTATATTTTAATTGAAATAGCAAAACTAAGTCATACATTTGTGAAACTTTCAAGTCAAATAGACAAAATTATCTTTCTGCTTTAAAATGAATTATTAATTAATAACTTTTTTTTTTTAATTTTGATGCAAGATTTTTTTTAAATCTCAGAATATGATCAAGATTCTTTGATAGAAATTCATGGAATTTTCATTTAAATCTAGTGAAGTAACTTTAAGATACTTGGGTAGCAATTTAAATGTAGAGAACATAATTTTAATAATAAAACATCTTTATTTTATTGCAAAAAGGTAGCTTGTTTGGATCTAACCAACCTTACACAATCCTCAAACGAGAGCTTACTTTGGAAGTATATTTATATTTGGCTATAGCTATATTAGCAGGGTTGATTTTTTATATTCTTCGATACAACTTCAATTTGCTCAATTTTCTTTGTAATATATATATACATGTATATCATGTATATAATTTTGGGGCCCTGTATAGCTTGCTGTTCGGTGTGAACCAAGGCTCCGTGTTGAAGACCGTACTTTGACCTATATTAAATGGTTTGATTTTACAAATTGTGACTTGGATTGAGAGTTGTCTCATTGCCATTCATATACCACATCTTCTTATATCTTTTATCCAACTCATTATTAGTCAATGATATGTTCTAAATATTCAAGCATTTTTCTTTGTTATGAGTACAAAGGAGGATACATTTTAATGTATGCAGCCTCCTCCATTTATAACTGCTGCTTCCTTTGAATCTTAAATAAGAAATAAGATTAAAAAAAATGTTTGCGTTATTTTGCAAATGTTTGCGTTATAACGCAAAGGTTTGCGTTATTTCGCAAATGTTTGCGTTATAACCCAAAAGGTTTGTGGTATTTCGCAAATGTTTGCGTTATAACGCAAAGGTTTGCGTTATAACGCAAACATAGGAAGAAATATTAAAAAAAAAAGTTGTGTGGCGCTAATATGCTTCCGTACTATAGTTCCTTGATTGGGAAACTGAAAGGAACGAAGTCTTAATATAT